TTCCCTTCATTTAGATAGAGGAAAAAAAAGGGGAGCATGAGCTTTACAATTTATTTTATTTTTTTTTAAAGATTTTATTTATTTATTTGTCAGAGAGAGAGAGAGAGAGAGAGCGCGAGAGTGAGCACAAGCAGATAGAGTGGCAGGCAGAGGCAGGGGGGGGAAGCAGGCTCCCTGCTGAGCAAGGAGCCAGATGCGGGACTCGATCCCAGGACGCTGGGATCATGACCTGAGCCGAAGGCAGAGGCTTTAACCCACTGAGCCACCCAGGCGTCCCGAGCTTTACAATTTAATATTAAAATAGACATTAATGTTTATAGAAGTGTCTAATTTATAGAATTAGAAATAAAATAGAAATACAGTTATAGAATTAGAAATTCAAATTAGGATAGATCTGCAGATAAATTTTTTTTAAGTTGAAGATTTGTAAGCCACAGTTTATTTCTCAGTCTTTTGTATGCTTTCTATGGCCGTAGAGGAAAAAAGGTATAGCCAAATACTTTGAGAGTTTACCTCAACCATATTTCCTTATAAATCTGATAAATGCATTCGTGTCTTCATTCAGTAAGCCTTTGCTGAGTATACTATGTGAGTGATGCATTTGTGAAGTTTTTAGCATATTGATAATAGTAAGTTTTATCAAATACCGTGTATGTTGTTGGGCATGAGGAAACACAAGGCTAATATACTGGTCTTCCCTGTCCTCAAAAAAGTGTATTTGCAAGAGAAGAATTGCTGCTTAACAACTAATTTGATTGAAGTCCTGTTGCTTTTCAGATTTGCAAAATTGTGTCAATTAGGGGAACTCATTTCTTCTATCAGTGTGCACAAAGGTGGCTAACAATAACAGGTGACTTGATTTATCCAACTGGGAACATGGTATCTAGTGGGTAGAGTGATTATGCATATACATATACTATATTCTATGACAGGTTACTTTTTTGCTTTGGATTAGAAATAGCATTAACCCTTGGTAAGACTGGTAATATTTATCACTCAAATATAGCTGGAGGCCTTCCCAGTCCACTTCCAAAGATAAGCTATGACCCTTCCCTTTTCATATTTCTTTCACTTCACGTTCCATATGATACTGAGAGAATCTCCTTATAAGTCTCCCTCTGAAAAATAAACTGGAAAGCATTCACTCAATAAAGAATGGTCTTCCAAATTTTCTTGAAAGTTTCAAACTTATTTGTACCCTCAAGACCTTTTATAATTTACTGTTTCCTCTGTTTTGGATTGCTCTTCTCCTAGAAATTCAAATGGCTTGCTTCTTCCTTTTATTAAAGTCTCAGCTCAATAACACATTCTCTCCTGTCTTTTATCCTGGTTCATTTTCATGACAAAACATTACTCCTATACATGTTGCATATGTTTGTTGAAAGTTTGCTATACTGAAGTTACGGGAGATCGGGGACATTGCCAATCTTTTTCTGCTGTATTCCTAATGTCTAGGAAAATCCCAGATCTTACCAGGTGCATAACATTTGAAGGAATTTGCAAGTTTTTTAACAACCTCTTACGACACTGAGGTTAAAGTACAAGTATGATACTCATCTCCAGATTCTGTATTTCTTACAGTTATGTTTAGTCAGGAGCCTAAATGAATCTGAAGTGATTTAAAACTACTGTAGTTTGGATATATTTGTTTTTGCTTTTATGTATTTGTCTTTAGTTATTTCTATAGGCAACAGACAATAGTAATTCAAGGTAGTAGTAATTATTTAATCTATTTATTAGACCTAGAAGGATTTTCAAAATTATGATTAAGTTCCTGACTGAAGTAGATTCTCAGAAGTGAAGTGAAAGTTCTTCAAATCACAATAAATGACAGGGTAGTATTCTAAGCCACTCTCTTGGCTCCAAGTCTAGTATTTTTTCCCCCTGCCAGATGAGTTGAAAATAAAATATTCAAAAATTGTCCTTATTAGATAAGACTCTTTTTTGCAGATTGTTTCTCCACTTGGAGGCACCATCTATAGGCATATTCAGTAAGTTATACATAAACTAGTTTCTGATGATTTAAAAGATTTTATCTTATCACAAAACTCTTTCTTGTTTTGAAAATGTAATTTTAACTATGAATATGTCAAATATATGTAGAATAATATAAAAGATTTCTTTGTATCCACCAATAAAGAATAAAAAGATGCTAACATTAAAAAAAAAAAAAAAAGGCAGAATGAACCCCGCCTTTGTGTTTTCTTTTTATTGTAGAACACTGTAGCATGTTTGGCACATGGTAGGCATTTCTAGTAGGTATGGAACTTGTCAAATGACAAATAAGGGAAAACAAATTAGTAGTGAATTTGATGTCCTTTATTACAGGGAAGACAGTCCTTGGATTGGGGGATTACAGTGCCTCACAAGCTGATGAACACTCTTCCCAAAAGATTTCAGACAAGAGCATGTTTTAGAGAACATTAGGAGAGACACCACAGAGAGAGGGTATGGTTGGCCAGGAGATTGAGGTATTTCTTTATGAAGCTAGCAGTCCAGGGCTCCTGGGTGGCTCAGTTGGTTATATGTCTGCCTTCAGCTCAGGCCATGATCCCAGAGTCCTAGAATCAGCCATGCATGGGCCTTCCTGCAAGCCCCGCCCCCACCCCCACCCCCGCTTTGCTTATCTCTTGCCGTCATGTTCTCTCTCTCTCTCTCTCTCTCTCTCTCTGTCAAATAAATAAATAAATAATCTTTAAAAAAAAAAAAAAAGTAAAGCTAGTAGGTCCTGTTCTCTAGGTAAGGTAACTAAAGCTGAGTTAGAGGATTGTGATTAATCTATGTTGGGTTTCTTGATAGGTGTTTCCCCTAAGTGCAGAATGACTTAGATTTGTGACAGGGGCCAGGCCATTAGGGCAGCCTCCCATTTTGTGGCTCCTGATACAAATTAACTTTATCAAATTAAGAATCTACAGTTGGCAGTTACATGTGTTTGATTCAAAATGAGAAGATAAATTATTTCACATTTTTTTATGTTCACACATAAACATTGATGAATGACATGCCATTTGTTGTAATTTGTAATTTTCCTGAGGCTTGCATTCAACAAACCTATCCCTTGTTTTTATAACAACTAGCAGAAGTGACTTAGCCAGTAAGTAAACCTAGCTAACTGCCTCTACATCCAGGTCTTGATAACTTTGTGTCTAATCTCTCACAAATCACATTCTTCATTATTCCACAGATGTATTTACTAACAAAAATATTCTTGTAAGGCCTCAGGTTTTAGCCTCCAAAATATTCAGGGGCATGTAAGATATTTAACAATTGTCTTAGAATAAATAGCTCTGTCATTAAGGCTTATTTATTCATGTGTTTAACACATCTATTGGACATTTACTATGTGATAGACATTGCACTAAGTCTTATTAAACTGACCCAGAAAATTCAACCACTTTGGGAGAGGATAAATGTTAATATAACAAGTATATAGTATGTAGGGTGCCTGGGTAGCTCAGTAGGTTAATCCTCTGCCTTCAGCTCAGCTCACGATCTCAGGGTCCTGGGATCGAGCCCCACATCGGGCTTTCTGCTGCTTGGCGAGGGAGCCTGCTCTTCGCTGTCTCTGCCTGCCTGTCTACTGTGATCTCTCTCTCTGTAAAATAAATAAAATCTTAAAAAAAAAAAAAGTAGAGTATGTATATTTTCGGTTGTTGAGCAGAGAAGAAAGAGGAAGCCCTAACTCTGCTTGCAGAAGTTGTGGCAGTGAAGGCAGGCCTCAAACAGAACTTGGTAGTTTGAAAAAAAAATGAAGCCTGGTCATTAATAATTTATATAATGGCACAGTGAGATTAAAGATTTTGTCATGTTTGGAAAACTGCAAGTCTTTGTATAACATTGGATGAAAATAGAGTAGTTCAAATGAGGTTGAAAAATTAAGACAATCTTTTTATAGTCAAACCTTCAAAATTATTTTAAGCAAGAATATGCATGTAAATTAAATTTTTCTGTAGGAATTTCAGATCATATACGTGAATATATTTAGGTATCGTAAAGCGTGCTTTTTTAAAAAAAAAAAGTCAGTTTGTGAAATAAGATTTGCTTATTAAGCACTAGTAAGTATAACGCTAAATCTTTTTTCAAGGTTTTAGTGACAAAACAGATTGGTTACAAATTTAATGTTACCGGGGCGCCTGGGTGGTCCAGTCTGTTAAGCGTCAGCCTTTGCCTCAGGAAATGATCTCAGAGTCCTGGGAGCAACCCCCACAGCAGGGAGCCTGCTTCTCCCTCTGTCTGCTGCTTCCCCTGCTTCTACTCTTTTTTAATGTTACCAAATGTGTATATAGTAAAGATCTATAAAATTTTATAGTGATGGGGAGGAAAATTTTGGTTGCTAGGGTGAAAATTTCCTTAGTAATAACTGGACAGATCTGTAGATGATGTGTGAAGAAATAAATTTCTAGTAAGGGGGCATTTCTAGTAAGAATAGTTGCTAAGGGTACAGTGTTTTTGCAAAGGAGTTAATGTTTGTTTCATAAAAAGTTCATGCCTTCCACTTATTTCTTCAAAAAAAAGTAGGGGGTGTTGCGAAAGGGGTGACGACTTCCATCAGACCTCGGTGCCTCTCGCGTTTCTCTGGCTGCAGGCGAGGCTGGTCGGGCCTGCGCGGGGCGGAGCCGACGGTGACGCGCCCATGCGCCGCAAGGCATTGTGGGGAGCTCGGGCCCGCGAGTGAGGTGGTTGGAAGCGAGGTGGGGGCGGCCGTTTGTTTTCTCGTGGTCTCGAACTCGCGCGTTCTCATCTTCCCCCGCCCCCCTCCCGACAAGCGGCGGGGTGGAGGAACGGCGGCGGTGGCAGCAGCGGCTGTAGCATCGGACACCCTCCTGTCTACTCTCCGGCGAATTGGTTCCTCTTCCCCCTCCCTCTCACTGTTTGTTGTGTGTTTGATGTGTTAAAGCAGGAGCGAGAACGCGAGCAGCGCCATGAGCAACACTACCGTCGTCCCCAGTACTGCGGGCCCGGGCCCCAGCGGCGGGCCCGGTGGCGGCGGCGGCGGTGGCGGAGGCGGCGGCACCGAGGTAATCCAGGTGACTAATGTCTCCCCGAGCGCTAGCTCTGAGCAGATGCGGACCCTCTTCGGTTTCCTAGGCAAGATCGACGAACTGCGCCTCTTCCCGCCAGAGTGAGTATCGTCCACCATCGCCGTTTTACTAACTCCTCCCCATTCGGGGCCTAACCTACACCATTTCCTAGGCCGTGGCCGACGCTTCCCTGGACCAGGTTGCTTTAGTTGAGGCTGGCTGTTGTTGCCTTTGCTTACGAGTTAGGCTTAACGCGGAGAAGCAGGGCCTGTGTTTTAGATATTAAAGAGACACAGCCTTTAAAATCTCGGGATTTGGTGGTTTTCTTCTTAAAATGTGACAACGTGGTCGTTTTTTTGAGCAGTTAGAGCAGGGCTAACCGCACTTCCATGTATTTCGTATATAGTTTTAATCGCTTTAAAAAAAAATCAAATGTTTCAGTTATTTGAAAAGTAACAATTATTAATTCTTCTGTTAATTTGATAACGAAGTTGGTTGTCAGTTCCCTTAATTGTAGGTATTGCCGTTAGCTGATTCAGGCCCAGTGAATATAATTCAGAGTTAATACTCTGACAGATTAATTCAGTGAGCCTGAATACTTAATTTTTATGCTGACAAAAATGGGTTACAGCTGAAACATAGGTTTTCTTTTGTTTAAATAACATACGCATTTTCACAGTTCTTGCGAAGGAATTCTATAGAATGTGAAATTTTTTAATTTAGAGTGTATGGCTGTTTTTATTCTGTTGTCTCACATTCTTACTGAAAAAATATTGAATGAGTGGATTAATTGCAAAGAAAAAAATAAAGCTTTGAAGTAAGATGTGATAAATGTTAGAACAAACATTTGAAATGATAAAACAGTGGTGTGCTCTCTGTGAAGAGTGAAAATACTTACAGTAACACTACAAGTAAACACCGAGTACCCACTGTACATTGAGAGTTTTATGATGTCACTTAAGTACTAAACAGGAAATTGGAACTCTCAAGGAATCTACTGTTATGATGGCAGTAATAAGTCGTTAAATATATTTTTACTCAATAATTAATAGATGTTAATCATGCTGCAATATTAAACATTTCCCGTATTTCATGACTTTCTACTTAAATAGCTTTTACATGACTTTTAATGTTCTCAAATGGGTGTGCTTTTAATTTTTAGGGGAATGTACATGTAGAGAAAGGTTTCAGAGTTGCTGATTTTCACGAAGTGTAGAATTCTGGAAACATTTTTGCTATTTTAAAACGACTGCTTTTAGTAATGAGTAGCTTTCATAATATGAACATAGAAAAATATTTTACTGTTACTCCATTTTCTGACAACATGCCCTTTATTAAGTTGTTCATGAAATTAATAAACAGCAAAAGGGCAGAAAATGAGAGTGATGTGATTATGATAATAATGTTATTACTCAAAATACCTGACCTACTGGACTGATTGATGAAATAATTCTTTCCAGCCCAACAAGTTATTAAGAATTTTGTTAGGGTTCCTGACTTCAAAATGTTTTATTTTGAAGATGCTCTTTTTATGATGCATTTATAAAAAGTTGACAGAGGTATAGGCTGTTTACTGGTTCCTCTTTACCTAATGAATGATCACTATCTTAGAGTCATGATAGACCAGCATCTTTTCCCTTTTTTGCTTTGTTGTCAAAGAAGTAGTTCCATAATAACCAGGATAACTGATGTGCATCAGATAACATGGTTTGGGGTGCTGTGCATTAAGAGGATTCCTTCCCCGCCCTGTTGGGAAGAAGAAATAAAAATTGTCACATCTTTGATCTTTGACACGTTCGTAAATGTTTCCGACTACGGATAGTTTCTCATCTGAAACTGTACAAGGTTACAGTTCAGTAGATGCTAATACTATCTTCATGGCCTTCTAGATTGTAGAGTCCTACTTTTGTTCATTTAATGTCGATTTTTTTTTTAAATATGTTTCAATTGCTAATCCAGCCTGCATAATTTGGAACTACTTTGTACAGTTTCTGTACTTTGTACAGCTTACTACTGTTTTCAGGAGCAGCTTACAAGGGATAAGTGCTGTGAAGCGCTAACTAGTACTCCAAAAAGGTTGATCATTCCAAATATCTACTTTTTTACTCCTAGAATAAGATTGAGTGGTTCAGAATATATAAAATTCTGACTATTGTAAACATATTTGCCACTTGATTTTTTATGGGGTGTTTGTATTTTTTTCCCCAAAGGTACTCATTCATCTAGATAATATGCCTGTGACATGCTTGCTTCCTTTTGCTACTCAGATGTCACCTACTCAGAGAAACCTTTCCTGATCAGTCTGTGTGAAAATAAAACACTCCTGCTCCCTTCCCTGTTCAATTTAACTACTTCGTTTTTCTCTAAAGCACTAATCACCAACTGATGGTTAAGGTTAGCTTCCTCTCTCTTTTAGAATATGTGGCTCCTTAGGTCAGCAACATTACCTACAGAGCGTTTTTAAAAATACATGTATGACAGCCTTAACCCACACCTACTGAAATGCTGCTTTCAGTTATAAATGCCTATGGGGGAGGTGGTGTAGTGGTGATCCTGGCATCTGGAATTATGCCAAACAGTTCAGTGTCAACCTCCTCAAGGTTTCTCCCTTTGTTTCATTATTGAATCCCTCTTTCTTGTTTCTTTTAAGCCAAAAATTGCTGACCTTTAATTTCACCCAGTGATCATACTGTTTCACAAGAAATAATATTCTAATCCTCTCTTTTGTATGACAGCCCTTAGAGCTATTTGAAAGCCTATTGGTGTTGGTGTTCCCCTTATTTATTGCCCCTTTTTCTACAGGAAAATTTTAATTGTGCTTGTTCCTAAAATGTGTTTTGGAAATTCAACATTGTTTGATTATCTGGTATATGCTAGATGCTTTCCTTTTTTATCTTAAACCTGTTTAATGATCAGATGAAGTGAAATTCATGTAGGTAGTTTTGCACTTCCAAATCACTCTACCAGTGTCTGAATTAGTATTTCAACCCAGTGTTGTGATTGTCCTTTATTTATGAGTGGAATCATTCTTTTACAGTAACAAGTATTCTTTAAATATTTGGTTTTAGTGTATTTCAGAATGGAGAATATAACAAAGTGTTTATTGGGTAATGTTAATGATCCCAGTGAAGCATATGCCCAAGTTATGCATTAAATGAAGGTTTACATCAATTAAATAACTTATTTAGGTAATTATTTCGGTGACCAAAAATAGATTATTTTTAATAGTGACCAAAAGACTTGTACAGGCAAGTAGCCATAAACCCATGACTATAGCAGACTGTAGTGTAGTATATACTTGATATTTTAAATCCTTGAAAGTTAATTCACTCACAGACTGACTTTGAACTTCTTTGCTCATCCAGCTGGAAAACTAAAAGTATAAATTTCACAGCAAAAAACAAAAAAAGCCACCAAAACAACTACTACCTTAAATTTCTAAGGACAAGTTTGCAGACATTCTAACAAAAAATATATTAGAAGAAAACTAAAAATATGGTATGCATCACAAATTTGAGTGTTATTCTTACACAGGGGCGTGCTAATCTTTTCTGTATCATAACAGTTTTAGTATATGTGCTATGGAAGTGAGCACCAAAAATAGATACTTTAATGATGATAGGTATAAGTAACTAATTGGTAAGGCTATCTTTAAAAATTTTTTATTACATGCACATTTTACTCTGTTTCTTATAACTGAGAACACGATGAAAGAGAGGGCATATTATATGAACAGAGTCACATTTTCAGGTCAGTATTGCCTTTGTTTGTATTATAAGCTCAAAATTCTCCACCCAGAAATGGCTAACACAGTATTAAGGTGGCAGTTGAAAGAGTGTTATCAGCAGTCTAAACCAAAAGTTCTTATACTTTAGTTCTCAAACTTTAGTTGGCAGAAATACCAAGCGTTGATCTTCAGAATCAAAGCCCTCCTGTAAAGGAATTCTCACATTCATTGGGCTTAGTGGAAAACAGAAATCTGAATTTTGCATGTGCATCCCAGAAGATTGGGAAACAACCCTTAGAGGACACTTTAATTTAAAAAAAAAAAAAAAAAAGGAAAAATACTGCCACTCTTTACCTAGGGGCAAAAGCATCATATAGGGCTTGCTCTTTCCTGTTTAGCTTCTCATCAACTGCCTTATCTATATTATTTTTTATCTATATTATTTCTTAAAGAATAAAAGCAGTTAAATTTTTAGAAGTGGTACTTGTAGAAAATTCTAAGGTGTGAAAATTTCAGACATCAGTCTGAAAGTGAAATTAACATACTATCTTACTTGCATGTGTCTTCTATTAATAAATTCTGAGAACATCAAAGAATGTCACTTTGGGTCCAAAAAGTAATTGTTTTAAACAAGGTTGTTTGAAGTGGGGAGAAATGAATTATTTGCCCTTCTGAGTTGTCTTACTATCTTTTCCATGGTATTTAATGCATGTTTTATCTCCCTACTATGGTACAGGTTTGATAAAACCAAGTAATAAGCTGCCAGTAATAGCTAGGATGTGAATGGACAGAAAAAATATGAATAATATTAATTGCTAAATTCATGGAAATACACTGAACATGTAGGCGGTATTTCCTAGTTTTATTTTAAAAAGAACTGTTCATTGTATTGATATTCTTTAAGAACTTAATATTATAGAGTCATTTTCTTCTTGAGTCAGTTAACAGTAGTGTCAAAGAAATAGTAGAGATCACTTTTTTTAGAAATTTAAACTCCTGTTACTTACCAAACCGTTAAGTTAGGTGTTAAAATGAAGGATAGCATGATTTCCAAAGAGCTTTTTTAATTTTGTGGTAAAAGTGTGGGTATGTGAGAAAAGGATACAAAGTGCTACAGCTTTAGTTCTAAACCTGCTGAAATGACATTCTTTCCACTATATGGGTGCAGCGTTGTTAAATTTTAGACCTGTAGTGCTTCATTAAAACACACTATATCCACATTAAAAAAACACTGTATCTTCTCAAAAACATTTTGGCAATAAGCTTCCTTAACAAGGTGGCTTAAATTCCATTTAGATAGACAATATTTTCAACTTTGCTTTGAATCTAGGTTTGGAACTGTGCTTAATATTTCAGGAAATATTAAAAATTCTAATGGGTTTGAGTCTTAGGCTATGCAATAGCTTCGTATTAGTGTTCAAATTATGAGGAATATTTTCTTTGCAACAAGTATTTAACTCTGAAATAACCAGTGTAACAAAATCTGAGGTAATTACATTTTTATGTATACATGAAAATCTGATTTGTCAGTTAGTGGTAAGCCCTCTTCTAAAGCCATTCAGATTTATTATAGGATTTACTTTTTCATAATTGAATCTTAAGATGCAGTTGGCTTCTTACAATACAGCAGTTCTTTCTTTACCTTAGGTGCGTATTAAGATGGTCACAGGGTATTAAAATAAAAAAAGAGGAGGCGCTGAGTATGTTAAAGATCTTGATTTAATTGATGTGGAGTAGAGATCTGGGGGTTTTTAACCCTCTGGTGATTCTGATGCATAGCCAGGGATGATGTGATTACTACTGCTTTAAGCCGTTGGTTTTCAAACAACTTTTGGTTTGGCGTTATGGGAGCAACCCCTGACTTTTATTTAATCTTTCTCTTTCATGGAGTTTTGTGGCAGAAATTTGCACCACCCTGAATCTTAAAAAAAAAAAAAAAAAATCCTGCTTGGTACCTAATCTGTCTTACCCTACCAGAGTTTCCATTTTAGCATTTTTTTTACTTAAGAAAGCAGTTTGCTAAGGGAATCCTTATGTAATAGTACTAGCGGGTACTATGTATCTCAGTATGTGTACACATTTTTTTTGTTTTGTTTTTCTGAAGGCGATCTAAGATAGCCTTAGTTCTTTATAATGCCTAAGTGTTATGCTGTAGGTGGAAGAAGACAACACTTAGGCGGGTCAAGAAAACTCATTGTTTGTCAAATAGATGTACTTTCCCACAATATTTTTTTGTCCCTGAAGTAGAAATTCTCTGTGTTTTTTACTCTGAAAAGTTACCAATAGTGAAAAGTTTTCTAAACCAAAACTAATTATTTTTACTTATAATTAAAAATAGCTGGTATTGGTATTGTAGAAAAAATGTTGACACTTTTGTGGTCTGCTCAAACCCTGAGATTATAGTTTCAAACTGTTTTTAATTGATACACTGTAAGTTTACCAACAGTGATTGTTTTTGTCTGTATGCAGTTTGTGAGTTCAGTGGGCAGTACCTTATTGAAATGTCATTTTCTTTTTAAGTGGTTAACTAAAGTAACTAACACATGTGGTATGTATTTTTATCTACCTATTTTACTTTTGGAATGCAAGTGTTGGTTTGTGAGTCGTATGTTTGTGTTTTAACTGATACTCTTTTTTCTCTTTTTTTATGTTTTATGTTTACTTTTTAGTGATTCACCTTTGCCAGTCTCATCCCGTGTCTGCTTTGTTAAGTTCCATGATCCGGACTCAGCAGTTGTGGCACAGCATCTGACAAACACTGTATTCGTTGACAGAGCTTTGATAGTCGTACCATATGCAGAAGGTTTGTGCTTTGTTTAACTATCTGTGAGGGCATCCTATGATGACCATCTACCTCAGTATAGTTTTAGAGTGAGCGGTAGTAGCATGTTAGAAGTTTAAGCTATTAACATTTTGAAACCCTTGTTATACTGCAGTCCATATTTTTACTTTTAGATTTTTTTTAATTCTAAAAATTAGAAATCAGGCCTGTTTTTATAAGATACTTAACTTTTTTTGCCTTCTTTTAAAACATTTTAAGTTCGTTAAAACCATATCCCTAATTGTAATTTCTTAAGATATACCTTAGTTAATTTAATGTTGAGTTTTATGAAAAAGTCCTGAAGGTGAACGGTTCACTCCATGCACATTTATGTAGAAACCTTCAAATAAATGCATGATGTTATTTCTGTTTTGAATAAATAATAGGTTAGTTTTATTTATGTAGTGCTTCCTCTCACAGATAACTTCTAAAAATATCCCATATTGAATTCCAGTATACCAAGGGTTGCAATGATTTCGGTTTTTATGAAAGTTCAAGATTTCCTGTAGCTTAGGTGCCAGATGGGCACTGGGTGATTTGTTTTTATGCCAGATTTTCTTGTTCATTCTTGCTATATTTTCTAGATATCTCTAAATAATAAATTCTTCTCTCTGTTATTTGTGTGTGTGATTTTTGTAGTGGAGAAGGCAAATGCAAAACTCTTCCAGATGACTGAAAAACAGTGGGTCCTCTGCAGCTACAGGGGATTCTAGACATTAACTAAAGGCCAGCAAGCACTCAAGTCCCCCAAGTGTTTTCCTGGTGTAACCATTTGTTAACTACATTTTCTCTCTTTTTTACATTTTAGGCTGTTAAAGTAATTTGACAGAAAAAAAAAATGAGCAGGGTTTTTGGATCTAAAAAAGCCACTGTGACAAGACAGCACTATATTAATTCCATTTTGTAAAATTTTCTGAAACATTTTATAATTAGTTTGTTCCCAATGTACTGCTACTTTATTTGCTTTTTGGTAACTATAAATTTTGATCAAAGAAATCACTGAAGTATGATAAAATTGCTGGATTTTAAGCTAATCATTTAACATATATGCTGACCAGAATTTAAATGCTTTCCCCTTAACAAACTGGTCAGTAGACGCAGAATTTTGATATTGTTAATTTTAGATGCTGTTTCAGATCTTTGAATACCAGTGTGAACCTTTACACCATGCCTTGTAAAAGTTTTGAAATGTCTAGTCCTTAAAACTTAGAAAAATTGCCTTTGTGGTTTTCTAAAGAAATTAAATTGCATTCATAGATGGATTAAGGCATGCTCTATAATAATAATACATCTGTCTCCGTGATATTAAAGTGTGTGAGCCCTGTCTTAAGGTTTTAAAATATATATGCTGATAAACGTATGAGTTAGTGTGTTATGATTAAGCAGTTTTCTTTTATATCAGTGTACCTGTTATAGGATAAGACTTACCACCAAGAGAAAATTTAAAGAATTCAAATTTAGGATAAGTAAAGTACAGTTTTGAAACAAAATTCAAATCATGTGAGTAATGTGCAGAACTTTAGTTAGGCTTTAAATTTAAAGAATTCTTATTGGCTAAGTATCATAGTTCCCAAGTCCTGAACATAATACAGTATATCATATAACTGGTTTTCATAAGTATTTTTAGACTATAGTAACTTTTCTAGATCTGTTTTGTAAATGAAATGTTTAGGAATGTATATAGAATTACAGAAATATTTAGTTCCAGAATCTATTTTTGGTTTATTTAATAATGGGTATGGTATGCTGTATTAATGTTACCACTGCTAAATAACTGATGTACTCAATCCCTTTATCACCATTCACCCTAGTTTTAGCTCTTACACTTTGGTGTTGGCTCTTGGTCAGTGTTTTAGAACAATTGACACAAAGTCTATGGTAAGGAATAGTCTTAATTGGTAAAACTGAGATAGCTGGATTTGGAAGGAACTCTTAATAGTAATGGATTTGGGGGTTATTTAGGTTCCTTGGTTAATGTTTGTTTCTTTTGTCTGTTTCTTTTTCTTTCATTTCTACACATTCATGCAGTATTTCATGGTTCTATCAAAGCAGCAGTAAAAAAAATACTCTTGACGCATGAAAATTAACTGGTGAGGGGCCTCATTGCTATTTTTAAATTGTAGTTTTATTTTTAAATAGTCTTTTTTAAATCAGAGGATCAGATGCATGACTTTTTTTTTAATGGATGCAGATCTTCTATCAGGTGTCTCACAATACAAGAGGATTTAGTTTGCCAGAAATGTTGCAAATGCACTAATTTGAGTAAGATGTTGATACTTAATATTATCCTCTTGAGACATAATTTTGCATGCAAAATTATCCCATAATCTTTGTAGGTTTGTTAATATTGATGCATTAATGCCCTATATCTAAATGATCTTCTCCCCCCACCCCTCCATAACTCTTGGTATCTAAATTGATGACAGCTCTGACACAAGCAAGATAACAGTGCTGTGTAGTATACATTTGTTTATATTATCGGCACTTCTCAGTATAGGTGGAAGGAACCATTACCTTTATTTAACAGTGGTTTTTCTTTTTTGTTGTTGTGTTTTACAGTTCTTTTCCCTGGTTCAGCCTGAACTATATACCAGGCCCTGCTGAAAATACCACCCAACAGTTTTCTTCTGCAGCTTATCCAGTTTCTCTTAAGTGCCCTGTACATATTGTATGTTTTATGATGAGATGCAGTTTCTTAATATGTATTACAGAAATACTACTGGTATTTGCAAATATGTAGTTTAATTGTATTATTGAACTCTCATTTTGGGGGCTTGGGCACATTAACAGATTAATCCATCTGTATAGGGCTTTTGCTGTTGGATAGAATTTAAATTGTCTACAATAAATATTTGTTTTAGGGCCCTTAGATTTTATCTGAATACACAGATTAGGCTTTAAAAACAGACACATGTTGTTTTTGGCTTTAGGAGTTTGGCTAAGTTAGCTTTTGAACTGACACTATGTAGCAGCATTTTTGGTATGGTTAGCATGGCACATGTTGGAACATAAAGCATTTTACTGTACAGGTAAGGAATGTGCCATGTTGTTTTACCTATTTTCTCTCTTTCTTACTCACCCACTTTCACACACACATCCTGTGTGTATTCAGAGACCTTCAGAAACATTCATATTCATTTTCATGAGTCAGCAAAAGCCCTACGCTTGATTCCAACAGAATATTTCCTTTACATACTTTTCTTCTCTTAATTTTTACAAAATTTGTATGGTAGGTGTAAAAGAAAATCATAGTAACTGTACCATATTATTAACCCCTAAATCAAACTTTTTTTGTCTTGTGTATCTTGATTTTTCTGTGTGCTTTATAGTGAAGCAGCCGACACGAGTCGTTGTTCATAAAACAGCTTTTGAAAGTTGAGAGCACACCCCTGGAGAACCGACTGTGCTTGCTTACGTTTGGTTCATGACTTAAAAATCGAGTACAGGTGATGAAATCTTGGCAGTGTTAACAAAAAAGTAGTGTGTATTGTGCTATTTTTTTTTTACTCTAGAAACTTAACCATTTGTAGAGAAAAAGGAAACAAATTTTCACACATTGAAGTTTCATTCTGACATAAAATTAATGATAAATAATCATAGAAGTCAAGCTTTATATTTTAGCGAACATAAGTACTTTCAACAAACTCAGGTGGTGTATCAGGGAGACTTTTTCTGGGTGTTTTTGTGTGTTTTCTGTCTTGCAAAAGAGTGTGTTCTAATGCAAGGATGTTTCTCTGCAGGAGTTATTCCTGATGAGACTAAGGCTTTGTCTCTGTTGGCACCAGCTAATGCAGTGGCAGGTCTTCTGCCTGGTGGTGGACTCCTGCCTACCCCTAACCCACTTACCCAGGTACTGCTAGTTCTGTTGAATTCTTAAAGGATAGAAACACAGAATTGTGGATAAACCTAAACATACTTGAGCTTTTTAAGTGCTATAATGATTAGAGTTCACAGAGGAATGATACCACATGTTCATAGTATTGTAAAAGGCTATATTGTTATCATAAATACTGAAGAAAACCTCTTACGAGTTTGCATTTTAAGAGCATTCTGATGAAAATCATAAATCTTAACATTTGGTTTGCCACTAGCTCTCAAAATAACCCATAAGGAACCATGTGGGTGAGGGGGTGTTTGGACTGGAATTTGATGAGGCATGAGACTTTTTCTCTTGAACGTGCTGTTAAAAATAGTATGTTCATTTGGACCCAGAAAGAAAATAAAAGTGAAATTCAGACTTTTTGGTGTTTTTTTTTTTCTTTCTTTCTTTCTTAATGCCGTTTGAGCTTTTGCTCTTGAGGTCTGAATTAAGTACATGGCTTGCAATAAAGGTGAATTCTTAATGGAAATTTTTAACGTGGGGAAGGTGAAATAAAGTTGGAGAAAAATTTTGCTGGGTAGTGTTTCTAACTTCATAAGATGATATAAAAAGCATAATTGTTTTAGAACCCAAAAGCTCTTTAAATTTCGTCTATTCTTATTCAGAGAGATTGTAACTGGTCATTGAGTGGTTTCGCAGATAATAGCAAACAGCAAGCCTCAACTAGAATTTTGTAACAGCATTTTTTTCTGTTACATCATTTCGCCTGTCTGAATAGTTCCATTAACTGTAAAGTCAGAACAAGGATGAAATCAGGAATTCCCATCATTTTGAGTATGACTCTGTCATTTAAGTCCTCATTTTTTTAACCTATAAAATGAGGATCTGGGTGATTTATAGATTGATTTCTTTATATAAAATTGTGTAATAACTAAGGTAGACATTATATATTGGTATATATATAACTATAGGTAGACACTATATATTATAGGGACATTGTTTTAATTGTACTCCATAAACAATTGTTAACATACAGAAGGTTTGGTACCTTTTATTTATTAAATATTATTAGAAGCTAGAAGAACTTTTAGCACAGTTCTTAGGGAGAAAGACTGCCTGCAATAGGACTTTGCATAATTTACATCTGTTGGTTAGAATTCTGTCTGGCCGGAGACCCAAAAAAAAAAACTGGTAATTTGAATAGAGAAAGTTTAATACAAAGAATTACTAACTGGTAACAGGAGATAACTTAGTGGTACTTCAATGAATATACAGTAATTGCAGGTATAGGAAGCAACTAGTTTGTCTAGATCTGAGGAAGAAAGAACACAGGAAACCCAGTAGATAAGGGGATTCCTCTTCCCACTTAAGGCTAAATTTCAGACCTTCAAAAGGATGGGTAGTACAGAAGTTCTCTGGAGTGCCCAGAGAACATGTAAGAAGCTGCCCAAGAGGATGGTCCTGAAACTCACTAGAAAGATGAAGACTGCTGGGCATCCCACTGCAGTAGCAATCAGAAAGTGAACATAGGAACCAGGAACAGAAACCCCTTCCACAGTGTCCTTCTAGCTCCCCATACACATAAAGCTTAACAACATGCCAGCTGTCATGGGAGAAGTGCGTTGTTTTTTTTTTTTTTTTTTTAATATTTTATTTATTTATTTGACAGAGAGAGATCACAAGTAGAGAGGCAGGCAGAGAGACAGAGAGAGGGGAGCAGGCTCCCTGCTGAGCAGAGAGCCCGATGCAGGACTCGATCCCAGGACCCTGAGATCATGACCTGAGCCGAAGGCAGAGGCTTAACCCACTGAGCCACCCAGGCGCCCGGGAGAAGTGCTTTTAAGGGTGCTATTTTCATTATCACAAAACAGGACAAAGGATAGTGGATTTGGACCTGAGAAGCAACAAATATAAATTGTTGGCACATGAATATATAAAGTTTTTTTGTTTTTCTAATTTCTGGGCTTAGGGATAAATGTGCTGTAATGAGTGAAAAATGAGGACATTGTATATTGCAGGGATAGTAAGGGAACTATAGCTCTTGGTCCAGACCCCCATTTTTGTTAATTTTGATTTGACAAACATGCCCATTTGTTTATTTATATTATCTTTGTTTACAAGCTATAGTGGCATAGCTGAGTCGTTGCAACAGAGCCCACATAGCTCAGACTTAAATTGGTTATTATATGGGCCTTTCAACAGGAAAAAAAATAATACCAGAAATAACAAGAATAGAAATTAAATTTAAAATAAATAAAATTTGAAATTTCACAGATTGGCGCCGTTCCATTGGCTGCTTTGGGAGCTCCTACTCTTGATCCTGCCCTTGCTGCACTTGGGCTTCCTGGAGCAAACTTGAACTCTCAGGTATAACTGAATACCTTTGATCTCGTTTTTTATAATTAAAGAATTTGTTCTGTTAACTGTTAAGTTTGCATTTCCCAGAATGGGAGATAACTGATTGCTATAGTATAGTAATAGTGTTTTTTTATGTAAACTTCATTAGAAGCTTAAAAGGTCACTGCATTATTAGCCCCTTAACCATTAAAGAATTTCTCATTTTGTGTCATTCAGAGTAGTGTCACAGGAAGCCAATACATAAGTATTTTTAGAGTCAGAGTAAACAGTCATGAAAGAATGGGAACGTGGGTTCATAATTTGTTGTTACTTGGAAATTTTTGTTTTCTCTCATTGTTATTTGGCCAGACTTTTTTCTGAAGTCTTTAACTTTGTGGAAATCTTTTATTGTACTGCCTAACCACTTGGAGTTTTGTTTTATACATTTTCTTGAAGTATTAGCTCTTCAGTCTCAAAATAAGCAGGAGGTAACTGTTCTATAAAACCTAGACTTGCAGCTAATCATATTCATATTTAACTGCTAAAGCAGCTTAACTTGATATGATGTATTTCGCTGGCATTATATTTCTGTTGATCATCAGTGTGCCTAAAATAATGTTACCTCTTGTATGTTGGCCAGATTGTCCTAAGGCATTTCAACATACTGAAAAAAGTAAGATAGCAATCATTTATTTTATGTTCTCACTGATGTTGCATTTTTGTTTTACAGTCGCTTGCTGCAGATCAGTTGCTGAAGCTTATGAGTACTGTTGATCCCAAGTAAGGATTTTTTCCATGTTTTCATTGGTGATACGGATATAGTATATGCATGTCTGGAGAAGTTATCCTTTGATAGTTAAAAAGAAAGTTATTTCAAGTTACACAATACATAATTCTGTTTTCTAGAAACAAGGAGAAAAATTCAGAGGTAAGCCCATCTACAAAGGGTTTTGTTTCAGTATAAATTGAGTCTTTCTGAACAGTTTGATGAATAGCTTTTGCCAGGATAACTGGAAAAGAGCAAAATACTATCATTAGTTGATTCATTTAAAAAATATACATATATACAGAGTACCTAGTGTAAGCTTGTACCTTCACAGCATGTATACTCTAGTCAGAAAAGAAAACATTATTTAAATATAGTTAAGTATGTGCATCCAACAAGAGGAAGTACACAGGGGCTCTGGGAACTTACTACAAGGAGAACTTAAGATCAGAGAGGCTGAGCCTGGGGCATGAATAGGAGTCAGGGAGACAGAAGTGAAGGAAACACTATCCCAGAGCAAAAGACTAGTACATGTCACATAATACCAACATCTTTTTTTAGGTGCTTTGAAAAGTTCTCTTTGTGCTGTAACTGTTACATTCTCTAGTTGATACGTAACAAAATCATGAAATATTTTACTTGATAATTTCTTGGTATATTAATTTGAACTTAAGCTTTTCCTGCTTGGTGAAATTCACTATGTAAGTGGGAGAGCATGGTGGGAGGGAGAACAGAATTATTTGACTGTAATAGTTAGTGCCTTTTTTCTTAAAAATTATCTGATAAAACCTTAGCATATACCTATCATTCAGCATGTAACACCAGTACAGTTGAAGTTCCCTCAGTACCCATTCTTGTTTATATTGCCCTTTCTCCACAAATATTTAACTATCTTTAACATTTGTTGTCTTTAATTTTTTTTGTCCTGTATAAACCTTTAAAAGGTCCATCTTTCCAGTCAACAATTTCATGAGTAACTTTGGTGTGCCATTGGCCTCTGCTTCATTTTCTGCCCTTCTGCAACCTTAGAAGTAATACTCTTCCCCAGGAAAATTCTGCTGTAGAAAGTTTTTAAATCGTATGAAGGAAAGTTCTGTTAATCATAAATCTTCAGCATCTTTGTATTCCCAGGAATAACATTTTTCAACGTGCGTTTATGGAAAGTTAATGGATGTTCCGCAAAATAAAATAGGTATTTTTTCTTATTCTAGGTGTCTCTCAATCTTTAAAATGCAGATTGTAAACATTGAAAAGGATGCTATACTGTACATGGTTTTACCAAAATTAACATGAAATAACCCCTTTTTCAAGTAGTATCTTACTAAAATGATACATGAAATATTTACATTTATTTGTAATAATGTGCATTTAAAAATACTTGGATCTCAGTTCTTTGTTCTGTTTCAGGTTGAATCATGTAGCTGCTGGTCTTGTTTCACCAAGTCTGAAATCAGATACCTCTAGTAAAGAAATAGAGGAAGCCATGAAGAGAGTACGAGAAGCACAGTCCCTAATTTCTGCTGCTATAGAACCAGGTAAAAATATGTTAGGCAGTTGTGCTGAATCTTAAACTATGTGATTGTTGACAACAATGATTATTGCATGAGTTTGGGAATATTATAATCATTTTTAACTTTAATTATAATCATCTTTTAATTTTCCAAATTCTGATAAAAGGTCATGTAGTAGAGTGATCCTGGGATGGGGGAGGGGACTTGTCACCTAGACATAATTTGAAAATATCTGGAGATATTTAATTGTCATGTTGGTACCAACTGCATCTCTAGCGGGTAAAGGATCAGGACATAGCTAAACATCCTTCAGGACACCCTACTCTATCCCTCAATGATGTATTCCTTAATAGTAGTGCCTAGACTTATGTTAGCTTATGTTGGGATAACCTAATTGATTTTAGTCTTTTATTTGACCTAGAGAACCTACTAAAGATGGTTCTGTTAAGACATTTGTTTAAAGAAAACCAAATACCTAAAAGTATTACCTTATTCTCTGCAGATTGTCTTTTCGAGTTGAAGTGAATGGTTATCCTATTGTCTGCCTATATAGATTGGATGTTTGGTTCTGGATTATTTTTTCCCACATCAAATAAATGTTTTACTAATTTTTCACTCCTATTTCTTAATAAATAGGAAGGTTTTAGATATGTGTAGTATTAGGAAGATAATTACAATGTTGGATAAATTAATACCAAGTGCTTTATGTCTGTTATTTATCAACAGATTTAATTAGTCCAAGGCCATAAAGTAATCTGAGTAAGAGTTTTAGATACACAACTGGATGTATGTGACTCCAGAGCCAGAACATCATGCTGTAACTTTTTGTTTTCATTGAAAACTGATAACTGGAAATACTGAAAGTGGTTTATTTATGAATTCTCCCCAAGATTTTTGTGAATTTATTACTGACATTTGCAGTAAATTGAGTCCAGTTAATGAAATGATCTAAATGTGAAAGAACTCAGTCTCACTTTAATTGTAGAACACATGTGAAGAATGCAGTGGCTTTATTTCTCTTAAGTCCTAAGTTAAAGGAGTTGCTTATGTATTATTTAAAAAACTAGGAAATGGGACTCAGATCATCTAGATCTGTCTCCTGACTTACACAGTTGAAAATTAGAGAGCAAGAGGAAGTTCAGACAGATTAAGAAAAGAGAGCTAGCTTACTAAAAGCCAGTTCTGCCAGAGTGTAGTGAGAACAGTGAATGAATCATGACTCTCTGGAATTGAAGGCCAAATATTGAGTTTATTAATCAACCACTGTAACATAAATATATAGGAATTTATTTAGCAGAGGCACATAGGCATAAGTGATTAAGAAGGAACATTTTAATGGACCAAGGATTTAAAATGTCTGTATTTCTGTTTATTATATAATCTGTTAAATATATTTATCTTACAGTTGAGTACTGGTTGGGAGATGTTAATATATGACACATGAAAATAAAGTTTTAATCTGGGTCAATTAGAGCTATATTTGGGAAAGTAGAACCCAGGAATGGGAATAGGGACTCCTCATTTAGAAACCTATGAAGAATGAGATGGATAATTCTTTTCATAGATTGTTTATAGACAGTACATCACAGCCTTCCAAATCTGGTACAAATGAAATAGTCAAAGGAAACTGGTTAGTTGAAAATCAGATATGTAATTTGGATCTACTGAAAGCCTAGAAAAAAGGATCATATGACATTTAAGGATGTTATATGAAACATGAAAATTAAGATAATGAAGAATTTCTTAGAATGACTTCTAAGTGGGCATAATCTTTCTATTTTATGGTTTCTAAATCCAGATTCCTTTTTTTTTTTTTTTCTTTTTTTCAAATCCAGATAAGAAAGAAGAGAAACGAAGGCACTCAAGGTCAAGATCACGTTCTAGGAGGAGGAGGACTCCCTCATCTTCTAGGCACAGGTTTGATAGATGGTTATTGGTAGTTAATTGTACCTTAGAAAAAGATAATTTCTGTATCTCAAATCCTTCTTAATTTGCTAGCTGTTAACCTACTTAGCTCTGGGTGTTTTAATAACTGTTACCATTAGCAGAGTGTTTGAGGTCACATATGGACACATGGAGAAAAGGTATGGGCTAAATAGACAATCAATTGGAACTTGAAAACTCCGAAATCTGGGGATGGGAGGAAGGCACTGGGACTGGAGCACTAAATTAAGTTAGGACTGTGTAAGAACACTAGACTCGAAACTTTTGACTTGAATTCTACTTCTGACTTTCCACTAGACTTTTTGAGACTTCTCTTTCAACTTAACCATCTGATGCATGAATATTTGTAAATGGCAACTTTCAGTAATATCACCACACATCTCATCTGAAAACCCTTTTAAGTATTAGGAATCTGTCACGTTCACAGTGGTAGATTCAAGTGTTCTAAAATTTAATTTTCTCTTGAAACCTCAGATCTTATTATCAGCAGCAAGTTTTTGTTGTTTTTTTGTTTTTGTTTTTGTTTTTTGAGATGATAGGCCTCGTGCATTTTTTTCCAGAAACTGTCTGCCAATACCGTAGTCTAAACAACCATAGTTTGTCATACTTGTTTTTTTCAAGTAGAGTTGTTATTTCATGGGAAAAGCAGTTAGGTAAGCTCACAGCTCAGTCACATAGTTGTGTTTCTTGATAACAACAGTCACTTAACTTTAATATGACAAGTGATTTATGTATTCATTGCACAGAACGTTGCTCAAGGGCCTAGATTTAATATTTACTGTTCATAATACTAGGTTAATAGCATTCAAAGAATCAGGTTTAATAAAATAGTCTTTTTACTGTTTCATCAATGATCTCTTTAGTGAAAATGGCATTTTTTTTGTTTTTTTCTTTTACTGCACTTGCATACTGCAAATGCCAGTGAAGAATACAGACACCTACTTAGGGCAGTTCAGTACCTGCTACCTTGATTGGTGCTAAGAAGATGATAAAACCCTTTCACACCACCATTGCTTTTGCGCTGTTAGTTCATATGTCAACACAGTGAACAGGGCAAATAATATCTTGGTGGTTTTTTGTTTTGTTTTGTTTTTTTAAATAATTTTGACCTCTGGAGCCCATGATATTGTCAGGTCTTTTCATAGTCATTTCATTAGTCCACTTGGCTGCTGTAATAGAATACCATAGGCTCGGTGGCTTACAAACAACAGAAATTAATTTCTCAAAGGTCTGGAGACTGGGAAGTCCAAGGTCGAGGTCTTGGCAAATTAGGTGTTTATTGAGGACCTTTGTTTGTAAGTCTTTTTACTATATCCTCACATGGAATGGGTGAGGGGTTTAGATCTCTTTTATAAGGTTATTAATCCCATGAAAGCTGTACTGTCATGACCTAATTATCTCCCAAAGGCTCTACCTCAGTATCATCACATTGGAAATTGGGTTTCACGTAAGAATTTTGGAAGGGGCACAAAATTCAGTCTGTAGCAGAATGTTACAGGGTTGTCCTACCCCCCTCTCCCCCCCACCACCACCCTGCCTCCCATCTTCCCCCAACCTGTCTCATTCCTAAAAATATCTTTCAAAAAATCAAGTCTGGATCGTGTCACAGCCTTGTTAAACTTTGAGCAGCACCCTTATTAGCCTTAACAACATGGTAAATAAAACCTTAGAATGGCATTCAGTTTTCTTTACTATTTAAGCCTGTTTATCTTCCACACTTGTCAGTTGCCACTCCAAAACAGTTAATTACGGTACTATTTGCCTGAACGTAGATTTTCTGTATGCTTCCATGCTTTTGTTCAGAATGTTCCTTTCTGCCTAATGCTCTTTCTCACATCTTCATCTCCACCTGAGGAACTCCATTTTGTTAGCTTGCTTAGGATCAGCTAAATATGTGAAATATTGATACTACTTATAATTCTAATTTTCCAGGACCGTGCTCTTATATTTTAATTTAACACTTAAAATGTTTGAGAACCTAAGTCCTTTTTTCCTGTATATACCAAGTACATACTAGTGTTCTTTCAGGTTTTAATTTGAATTATTTTAATACAACCTGTGGGAAATAATAGTGAAACATTTATTTTCTTGAACAGAGTGTTTTTGGACACTTGTAATAATACATCATAATGGATTATTATGGGTTATAGTATCTTAAGCATCTTGGCATGTAAAATGACCATTACTTTCAACAACTTAAAATACTAATTTCATATATTTTTCTGATTTTCTTTAAAGAGCTTATATAAACTGGTAAGTGTGTTAAAGTAGCTCTGCAGCACATTAATCTTAAAAAAATAACTTTAAGGACCTTATAGTAAATAGATGGGTGTGATACCTCTACTTATTAGATTTTTGAAACTATCTTTTATTAATCATTTATTTAGAAAAAAACTGTGAGAATGTTTATGATTTATTGTTTCTGTACTTCTATTTTTTGTGTATACGTTAAAGGCAGGAAAAATGAGTATCTCGGTTTAGCAAAAATAATGGTCGATGTAATTTTCTTAAAGCCAGTATACTCAAAAGATGAGTAGTGTTTAATTCTAATAACCTCAGTTTTATTTTCCAGAATTATTTTTAACTCTTAAGAAGAAAGTGATGATTTTGATATTTCATAGAGTCACTATCACCTAAAATACACTATTAGTACCTTTTACTAGAGTCAGGCACTGTACTGATTGCTCGAAAGTGTAGTGTTGAATAAGGTAGACAAATTTAGTCCCCATTTTTATGAAGCTTACAGAAAGGTAGGTAAGCATTACATGAACATTTTCTAGGAAATAGACATGTTATTCAAAGGGATTGTTTTAGTAGTTTCCAAATAATGGTCAAAAATAGGAGATGATTAAAATGAAAGTTTATTGATTCAATAAGACACTAGTGATGGGTTTTGAAATAGTGGTTTTAGAGAAGGAGACAGCAGAACCCATATTGGCACATTAGTAAGAGGAAAGAAAGGAATCAGTTCATATATATACCTACATTTAAGCACTGAGCTGACTTTTTAACTTCATTTTAAATTTTAAATAACAAATATTCACAATGTAAATGCTATTATTTTTCATTAAGTAATAGGCTCAAAGCATGCTCTCCATTTGCTGGTATTGAACTGAGATTTGGACATAAATCTTTACCATTTCTAAACTTTTCTTTTCTCTGGGCACCTTAAGTGAATGTAGAAAGTTTGACTGTATTAGAAGTTTTCCATAGAAACAGGTTGAATGAATGGTCCTTAGAAGTTAAATGATAAAAGTCTTAAGCAGAGGATGCAGTTTATTTTTAATTATTCTTAAAAGAGAATAAAATACAAGAGGAAGAAGATCAGTGACAACATCAAAAATTTAATTGTGCTTCTTAAGTCCTAGAAGAGAAAGTATATAGGATTGGGGGAAAAGGCTGGGAGACGGTGCAGAAAGAAACACTTCTGTTACTTGACAGGAAAGAGATGATCATCATGTAAAGCTAGTGATAATGGTGAGGGGAAATGAAAGTTAAAGAGGCAGTTTGTGCTGAGTTGTATATATCTATATAGGGCTACATTGGATATCTCTGAGGTTGTAAATCAAAGAAGTAAAATAATATTTCAGAGAAGAAATAGAAAGCAACAACACACCTTAAGTGGTTTTCATTTATAAAATGAATTATAATAGTACCTACTTGAAAGGTTTATTGTAAGAATAAGTACTTATAAAGCATGTAGTAAGCAAATATTAAGTATTTGGTAATCGACCAATAGAGTTAACCTGCCATAGTGAGGAATTACATAAGACACCTGCTAAAATTCTGTATAGTTGGAAGATGATGCAAGTGAATCAGATATTTTTTATTTTCCTTCATTCTGTAGTACAGTTTTTAGGTTCAGAGTTATAGTGTCAGGGCATAGGACTGTTCTGACAGATTGAGGTTAAAAGGTGAGAAATTCTAGGTGTTAGAAAGTATTAGTTTCTAGGGAATCAGAGATGTTTTAGGGGTACCTGGGGGGCTCAAGTCAGTTGAGCATCTGACTCTTGGTTTTGACTCACCTCATTATCTCAGGATTGTGAGATTAAGCCCTGTATCAGTCTACAGGGTCTGCTTAAGATTCTCCCCACCCCTACCCTGGTCACTCCTGCTCCCTAAGGTAATAAAATCTTCAAAAAAAGAAAAAAGAAAAAGCTTTATGGACTAAATAAATAATATCAGCAACTGCAAGGAAGTTACCCCCACTTGTTGATGGTTGTTAAGCCATATGTTTGAATCATTTGAATGATTTGAATGATTTGAATCATTGAATCATTCTGCTAAGTGAAACAGTCACAGAACTAGTCTGTTTGCCTTTATATGCGTGTATTGGCTTTTTCATTATTAGGCGGTCAAGAAGCAGATCAAGAAGGAGATCACATTCTAAGTCAAGGAGTAGGCGACGATCCAAAAGTCCAAGACGGAGAAGATCTCATTCCAGAGAGAGAGGTAGAAGGTCAAGGAGCACATCAAAAACCAGGTACAGTAGACCATTGACATTAGGTGGGAAGACAAATTTTAAAGTTCCCAAAATCCTAGATACGGGCTACTTAATGACAAAACGGGTGGTAGAAGGAGAGAGGGCTAGATTGGAGAAGGAACTATTTAATTTTTGAAGAGGCTGACATTTGTTTTCCTGGGCTCCTTTGTAAACTTAAGGTTTCTTAGAGCTGAAAACTGAGATGATTTCTTTGTAGTAAAAATTCTTGTCTGTCCTACTACATTCTTTCGTTTCCTTCTTTCCACTTAACGCTGCTAAGGATACAGTGCTACCACCATTCTTTACAGTATGCTGATGAGTTGGTTTATGGCAGACAAGCATGCCTTAATTTACCTTTCCAAATCCCAGTATCAGCACCTTATAAACATTTGTTAAGAATTAATATATGGCAAACATTGAACCATATTTGGAGAGCCTCCTGTCCCATGATTTGGAATGAGTAGAAGGTTAAAGTTGAGGAGTCACTAAAGAAACATTGTACTTTAACACTGTATTTTGACTTAAATGTGAATTCATACAGTAGTCCGTCTTTTTCATATAGGGCCAGACCCTTTTAAATTAATACGTAATCTTGAGTAGCATTTAACAAGTCACTGTTTTTTTCACTTGAACCACCTTCACAGTGGCAAGAGAACTATCACTTTTAAAAAGTACCTAGATTTTTATTATCTTTTTCTCATTTATAGTTGTCACATGTATACAATTTCATAACGCTTATTTTTTGAGCAGCTGTCCTTATCTTTCTTAAATATTTGCCTAATTTTTTAGAAGCAGACCTTTTACTTTATGCTATCCATTATCCATTTGTATATTTAACTATGTAATTAAAATAATAAGGACAGTTAAAGTCCAAAACAGTTTATTCTCCATGACCATATAACTCAACTGGGAGCAAAGATTTGGGGGGTAGCTGTACTGAGTGTTTAGCCTGTAAGGAGGCTTTTAGTTACTGTATTTTATAGGGCGAGTTATCTTAATCCAGTCAATCAAACAAGCTTGCATAATGAAATGAATATCATACAAAGAGGAATTGGGTGTTCTTTCCCTCAAGGAACTTTTTTTTTTTTTTTTTTTTTTTTAAGATTTTATTTAGCAGGAAGAGACACAGCAAGAGAGGGAACACAAGCAGGGGGACTGGGAGAGGAGAAACACAGGCTTCCTGCAGAACAGGGAGCCCAATGCAGGGCTTGATCCCAGGACACTGGGATCATGACCTGAGCCGAAGACAGATGCTCAACAACTGAGCCACCCAGGCGCCCCAGGGAACTTTTTTTATACAAGAGGGGTTAATGTGATTGCCAAGGAAGGGTCACTGCTAGTAGTATTGGAAGAGAATTAATTGAGAAGTGACTGAGTATTAAATTTTGATAGATTTAACTACACTTAGGAGCATGGTTTCAGGTAGAGAATGTTGTTTTCAAAATTAGCATAAATTCGGGCGCCTGGGTGGCTCAGTGGGTTAAGCCGCTGCCTTCGGCTCAGGTCATGATCTCAGGGTCCTGGGATCGAGTCCCGCATCGGGCTC